GACCTCTCTGTTTCCCAGGGCAACTTTCTAGTTGTAAAATAATAAACCCACTGCTGTGATTATGGATTCTCACATAATCACAGGAAATGGTCATCAATCCATCCGTTGGCCTGATTTTCATCTTGAAAATTATCTGGAGAAACACCGGCCAAGCCAAATTGTGGATTGACTGCTGAATGACGGTGCACAACCAGAGTCGCCCCCCCTTGCTCCCCCCCTGTGCAAAAGCCTGGGGGCAGAAATTGAGGTGTGTGTGTGAGAGGGAGGCCGTAAGCCAAAAGCACTTTCATGTCGGAGAGACATGGCTAAGGCAGTCCTTTGTGTCCGAGAAATCAGACTTCAAAGCAATCTTGTGCTTCGGCCGGAAGACCAATCTCGAAATAGTGAAAGTTAATTTGTGCTTTTCAGTAGGCCAGCGAAGCCCTTAAGGATTTTTCCCTTCTAAGGGCCTGCTAACTGTAGCACATTTTCTGCTCTGACACCCGATTCATCTCTCTAAAAAATAAGTACACTACAGTGGTGCCTCGCTTAACGACGATAATCTGTTCCAGGAAAATTGCCGTTAAGCGAAAACATCGTAAAGCGAAAATAAAAACCCCATTGAAACCCGTTCAATGCGTTCCATTGGGGTAAAAACTCACCATCCAGTGAAGATCCTCCATACGGCGGCCATTTTCGCTGCCTGTATAGCGAGGAATCCGTCCCTAAACACAGCAGGGAGCCATTTTAATCACCTGGTGGCCATTTTGAAACCGCCAATCAGCTGTTCAAAAAACGTCATTTTGCGAAGAATTGGTTCCCGAAGCAGGGAACCGATCATCGCAAAGCAAAATTCCCCCATTCAGACCATCGTTTTGCGATTGCAAAAAGATCGTTAAGCGGTTTCATCGTAATGCGGGGCAATCGTAAAGCGAGGTACCACTGTACTTCCTTGTGAGATAACACAAAAAGTCGGCTCAGTTTGTTAAACATTCATGAGATTCCAGCGTGACTGGGAGGGTTTTCTCCTAGTATTGCTTGCCCCCTGCTCTGGCAGCTACCGATCCCCAAAGGTACACTGCTCCTGCACCTGCCAGCTCTACTTAACTGTCATAGCCAAGAAACATTAATCCTCTTTAGTATCACCTCGGCTCCTGCTGAATAGCTCACGGCATTAGAGGTTGGGAGTTTGATTCCCCACTGGACCTCCTCTAAAGTTATTATTATTATTTTCCCCCCTCATTTGTTCCAACAGATTCCATCAATTAGGCTAGAATCCTATGTTCCTGAAAATAATTCCCGTTGGGCTCTGTAGAGCTTCCTCGTCGTGTCCTATCCCTCGTCCTTTTTCTTCCCCTCAGCCAATCCAGAACACCAACAGGATTTTTATGGGTGTGCTAGACAAGTTTCCAAACCCCCCTCACATTCAATTAGGGCAAGCGTTTCTTAATTAAACACTTTTTGTTTAATCGGTTATTTCTTAGAATTGCATTTTTAAAACCACTGTACTCCGATGAACTTTATGAACCCACATTTCTCTTCATCCGACATTCCTTTTCATGATTAATTATTTTGTGACTGACCCCTCGTCAATAAGTCTGAATGTTACAGAAATCGTTAAATTTCCAGGAGCAGCCGACGGACGTCACAGGATTAACCCAACAGAAAGGACCCGTCAGCTTTTGAAAGATACGGCTGCTCTCGTTTAGAACTAGAAGAAGTCCATCTTTTGAAGGCTTAAATTGAAGTCAACTTTTCAAAAATTCCGGACTTCGTCTACTGATACTCAGTTTCCTTGTGTTGTTGTTGTTTAGTCGTTAAGTCGTGTCCAATTCTTCGTGACCCCATAGACCAGAGCACACCAGGCCCTCCTGTCTTCCACTGCCTCCCGGAATTGGATCAAATTCATGTTGGTCACTTCAATGACCCTGTCCAACCATCTCGTCCTCTGTCGTCCCCTTCTCCTCTTGCCCTCACACTTTCCCAACATCGGGGTCTTTTCCAGGGAGTCTTCTCTTCTCATGAGATGGCCAAAGTACTGGAGCCTCCGCTTCGGGATCTGTCCCTCCAGGGAGCACTCAGGGTTGATTTCCTTCAGAATGGATAGGTTTGTTCTCCTTGCAGTCCAGGGGACTCTCAAGAGCCTCCTCCAGCACCACAATTCAAAGGCATCCATTCTTCAGTGGTCAGCCTTCTTTAGGGTCCAGCTCTCACTTCCATACATCGCTACTGGAAAAACCATAGCTTTGACTATGTGGACCTTTGTCGGCAAGGTGATGTCTCTGCTTTTTAAGATGCTGTCGAGGTTTGTCATCGCAGTTCCCTTGTGAGTGAATCTTAAATCTCTCAAAAGCCATTTGGTTCACAGCTGGCATCATGCCACACGCTGAGCTGTTTTCAAAGGAGGTCAACACTCCACCTGAAGACGCCAACGCGAGTCAACTTTGCCAGCGTTTTCAAGAATGCAAGCTTAGTCTATGTTGCTCCGTGTCGCTCTCTCTGCACCCAATCACTGCTAGATGCTCCCCCCATATGGTGGCTGGGGTGGGGCAGAGATTTTAGCACCCTTTTTGAAAGATCAAGCCGTTCCTCGCTGCTTTAAAAGCTCAGATTGCTCTAATGTGAGTCTCTAAAGCAGGCTCTCTTGGTCGGCTTTCACGTCATTGTCTCTGCAGGGAAGCAACAGAAACGATGCACGCAGGGAGGGTTAGGAAGAAAGAGTTGTTACTTTGATAATCTAGCGTGCTCCACGGAGTGCAAGGGACCCAGGAGTTAAGAGAAGGAGAACACAAAGCTAGCGCAGAAATCAAAACCGAGAGAGGGCTCAAAGCGGTTTCTTTCGGATGCAGAGCATGATGTATACCAAAGCCTTCAAATGCAGACTCCAGGGCACATGTTGTAGAGCGCTATGTATTCTCCGTCCTTCTGCATTATACATGATCACAGACTTTTAACATTTTATAAAAGATAGCAGGGCTCGCAATGTGGATTTTATTACAGGAGGCTAAGAATGTCTCGGGCCAAGGCAGCGCCCAACAAAGGTGCGTTCTGCAGAAAGAACGCAAACCGGATACATACAGGCTGAAATCCTACCAGGATTTTGCAAAGCGGTGTAACATGCGGGGGGGGGGGAACTGCCCTCAAGCTGAGAAATCTCCCATAGATCATACCACTTGTGTGCCAGGTCTTGAGACTGGCACAACTAATTAGTGCACAACTAATCATCATCACTATCTACTTAGAACTGCAAGGAATCAAACTCCCAACCTCTGCAGCCAGGAAGGCGCATTCTGCAGAAAGAACGCAAACTGGAAACATTACATACAGGACGAAATCCTACCGGGATTTTGCACAAGCAGTGCAACATGCATGCGGGGCGGGGCAAACTGCCCTCAAGCTGAGAAATCCCCCATAGATCATACCACTTGCGTGCCAGGTTGTGTGACTGAGTGCACAACTAATCATCATCACTATCATCTTAGAACTGCAGGGAATCGAACTCCCAACCTCTGCAGCCAGAGGCTTCAACCCCTGAGTTATAATAATGTCTACAGTCATTGCTTAACTTGAGGTCATTTACCTCTAAGGTCATTTCTGTTATTTTTGCAGGCACAAACAATGAAGTGAATTTCACCCACAAAATCCAGGGGGATTGGAATACTGTACTTAGGTCGCGGAATGAGAAACAGAAACGACAGAGGATTATAATGGATTGTTCAAGAAGAAATCTTAATGGAGGAAAGGAGAAGGGACTTCAAAGCTGAGTCAGAAGAGCCACGAGGATGTCCAGGAGAGGCGTAATAACGCAGGAGCTCAGGGAAAAGATCACCCACTTGGGTCTGTAGGCAATCTCAGGTTCTGTTCCCAGCCAACAAAAAGAATCCTGCCTTGATGTGGAATACATCCTCCAACCCACTCCATCTCAAGCCCCAATACTGGAACTCTACTCCATGGGGTTCTCAAACTGGGGTCTCCAGATGTTCTTGGGCTGCAGCTCCCAGAAATCCTGGCCAAGGAGTGAAGGCTTCTGGGGGTTGCAGTCCAAGAACCTCTGGGGATCCCCAAGGTTGGAGATCCACGGCTCGAATTGGCAGTGGCTCAGTAGAATTCCAGGCAGGATTTTGCTTAGCCCCGTCTGGAGACCCTGGACAATCTCAAGCGACCTGCTTGGTTGGAGACCAACCAAGCCCAGTCTTGTTCAGCTTAGGAAATCACCTCCGACCCTGTGTTTTTCGGGGGACGGGGGCGAGAAATGAAGAAGGAATCTCGGCAGGACACCCCGAAAAGCCACTGCCAATCAGGGTGAATGATTGATTTCCTGACCAATGATTTCACCTGACGTAAGACAGCTCCTTCGGAGTTACCTTTGGAAAAGATTAATATTAATATTAACAAGAACAAGAACAACAAGAACAACAAGAACAACAAGAACAACAAAACAACAAGAACAAGAACAACAACAACAATCAGATACCTAAGCCACTGAGGTATCCAGCCAACTCAATATCTTTATTAGACCACAAACATAAGATACCTTGAAAGACTGCATGAATTACAAGAGAGAATCATCACTAGTTAGGAAGTCGATGGTTGTATTTTTCCTTGCAGGTCAAGTCATGCAACATGTAGGTAAAGAAGAATACAGGCCTCAGTTTTTTTTAACTTTCAGCCATCCATTCACTTCTGGAAAAATGATATTGTAAAGTGTGGTATCATACATTATTTAGATAAAATAGCATATCAAAGACGTCGGTCAAGACATGGCATGCCACCATCAATGCACCCTGGAAAAGATTTGGAAGTTGCGGAAGAGACACCCTCCCTGTTTTAACATGCTGCCCATAACGAGGTATGTGCAGAAAGCTCCTGGGTGTAAACCCAGGCCTGGATCCATGAGATGTGGAGAGGGTGTTGAGCACGAAGGTCTACTGGGTCCAGTTATTGTGGAGCTCACTGCAAGAAGCTGGACGGAAAGAGGAAGACCACCAAGCCCGGGATACAAATCACAACTGACAAGTAAATATAGAAAAGTGGCATGTAATCTTTTACTCAAATTGCCTGTGAATTATATACATACGTACAGTCATGCAAAAAAAAAAAGAGGCTTTACCAACATAAACACAATGCCAGTTCTTTAACACAGTGCAAAAAGGTCTTCAGAAAAATGGTCTCTCTCTCCCTCTCTCTCTTTTTTTAATTAAAAAATGGAAACATCTTTGGTTTAAAACTTAAAAAGGGATGAAAATGTAAGATCCCAGGTCTCTGGCAATTTTGAAGAGCAAACCATGGAGAACAGAGCATTTGTGGATTTTTAAACCAGAAGGGAAGAAAACTATATTGGCATGTAAAATGAGGAATTTAGACACTGAGATTTTTTTTGGAGAAAGCGGTCCATCGAACAGAAACCATCCTGAAAGATGTATGACCTTCACGAGGGACCCTTTCCCACCAAACGAGACAAAAGCTTTTGTGTTCATGTGTTCTCTCTTTTATTTTAATTAACAGCATCTTTGATTTTTCCATAAATTGGCAGGGAAAGTTTTTCACGCGGCACCGGCTTGATCAAACTGAACTGAATGGAATCTAAACGCCAACATTTGCCTTGGCACCCCGTCGGTTTGAAAGTGGGATCTCGCTCGCATCCACAACTGGATCGTATGAAGTTGTCAAGGCAAAGTGTGGCAGCCTGTCCTTCGGAGAGCTTCGTCTCCTAAGGGCAGGACGTGACAACCTTTTCTGCAGAGGTGGTCCCTCTCAAACGCAGATCACATCCGTGAGAAGTAAACCAAAGTCTGGAAAGTTTAAACTTCCTCAGACTTGTGTGTCCCGCTGATGTTCGCTCTCCGTCTAACAGAGATCACTCAAGAGAGGATCAGACGCGAACACCTAGTATGGTCCTAGCGAGAGAACAGAGTCCTCCTTAATGGGCGCTGGGCAACTCTCTTCTCGCTCTCTCTTCTCCAGAGTAACGGGGGACTTTGTTCTAAGCACAAACTTGTGAACCACTTTGCATGGGACACGCACCCCTTTTACGCCGGACAGCAACTGCCCAGATAAGATGTAGAGACTTCCACGTTTTGATCCGCTCCCACTTCGGATGCAAGGAGGGAATTCACATCAAGAAAGGCGCAGTTGCCAAAGGGCGACAAACACGGGTCCGATACAGACCATCTCAACGGTGTCTGTTCTTTTAACATTTGCTTTCAAGAGCAAGCGATTTTTAAAGCGTCGAGGGACCAGAGCGGTCACGATTGAACGATCCACCTGTTTAAACAAATGCTTCCTCCAGAAAGGATGAGGACCTCAGAATTTTGTCTGGTCTGCTCCTTTTCTACATGCGAGGAGGGGGCGGTCATCCACAAACACAGTTCCTCTTGCATTCTGAAGTGGCGAGTCTCAAGATTTCAGTTTCCAACTTTTAAAACCCCAGAATAGGGTCACCCTCTCAAACCGTGGGCTGTTTTAGATGGCTCTTGTTCTACAAAGACCGAACCTATACCAAGCGGGTTGTTAAATGGGGATCAAGATGTGTTCTCAAAAAAGGAACTGTGATTTTGGCAGGAAAGATGACATGGGTTGGGTTTGTAAACGAGAGGGATGCTAGGTGTTAAAATAACCCATGAAATCTCGGTATGAGTTACTGGCCCATTTTAGAGAACTAAATTCACTTCTCCAGTTCTCTTTTCACACCCCAGCAGACTAAGGAAGCTACTGTCATCCTAAATTCTGCTCGGAGCCCAGAGAGAAACAGAAATCCCAAATAAGGGGATGTTACATGGCAACAAGGATGACTATGGAGATGGTTCATGGGGGGGCAGTCCAGACAGACTGCAGTGCCCGCCACTTGTAAAGCCTCGATCTGGCAGAGGAATAAAAACAGTTTCAAAACTTTACGCAACAAACTTGTTCCAAAGGTTATTCCAAGAACTGACAAAATAGTAAACGCTGGCGCATTACTTCTACACCATAAATACCAGCATATACAGGAGGAGGGCTGAGAGAAGTACAGGTTCTAGTTCCTATTTTCAAAAGTGCATGCTCTTACTGTCAAAAATCCCATCACAATTTCTATACACAACCCAAGAAGCTGCAGTAAAATACCAGAGCGGGAGAGAATGAGAACCTGCTCTATTCTCTGTTACGGGGCAATGGCTTTCATTCTTAGTTATCCACAAAACGCAGGATTTCAGGACCATATTTTCCATAGAACGGCACCCCCTCCAGTGGGAAACAAAAGAACAAGAGAGCAGATGAACCAAGTGAGCGGGTGGGAGGGTCTGGTCAACTTAAGCCACAGCCATGTCTCCCAGTAGAGAGATGTCTCCAAGACACTCTGGATGCAAAGCCACTAGACGCTGGCATAAGAAGGGGCGTAATGCGTCAACCTGAACTGAATGACCCTCATGAATGCATCCGATCCAAACCTAGGCAAATGGCTGATTTCTAAAGTCATTTTGGTCTAAGGAAAGCAAACGGATCCGCCTTCTGGTTAAGAAGTAGAACCAAAATAATAATAATAATTAACAACCTGCCTTAGATGGAAATCACCTATATAGGTTCCTATCCCAATTAAGCAAAATGCAGGTACAGTAGGACCCCCATATCCACAGGATCAATATCCACTGTTTCACGTATCCAGTCTCAAAATATTTAATATATATATATATTTAAACCTTACAAATTCAGATATCTAATGACAAAGTTAACCATGACTGGCTACTAGAAAGAGCCAGAGATCATGCTAAGCTTAGCGTTCACTATAATCCACGTTTTTCAGCACCCACAGGTGGGCTTGGAGCCAACCCCCTGCAGATACAAGGGTCCTACTCTACTGGTACAAAACAGTGCAATAAATAAGGGAGAAAAAACAACGGCAGGTAGCAAGAAGTAGGATTGAAGTCAACTCTCTCAAAGCTGTCACTTATAAAAGTCTCATCTCCAAAACTAGCATTTTTTCCCCTTTCTCTTCAAGAGAAACCTGGGATTCTTAAACGACGACGCATCTACAGCATCTCAAGGATTTCACTATCGTCGGTGGCGTTCAGCTCCTGTAGGCGGCCAGTCCACAAAAGTTTCTGCTCAGTACAAACTTTATTTCCAAGTTTTTTTGGGGGGAAAAACCTGGTGGTTCTCCTGCAAGAAAGGAGCACAGATATATTCCTTCCCCCCCCCCCCTTGCCGGCAGGCAGGTCGCAACCACCTGCTACCATTACTATAGTGGCATTGAGGAATGATCCATCCGTTACTAAACACCACTATTCACTCACGTCGCTGCGGGAAGCAAATACACCCATCTTTGACCGCTCTTCTCAAGCTGTCCAGCTGAATTGAACAGAGCGTCTGTACCAGAAAGCAGGTTTCTTCCTCTGGGGGACCTGATCGTTGCCAGCAAAACAATACCCATGACAGCCATCGTGACGCTCTGCAAGCCGGTAGCGACCTGCTTGTGGGAAGCAGGCATGGTGTGCGCAGATGAAGTGCAGAGCATCTTACTTGAAATCCAAGCGCTGGGTGGAAGGGTCCCTGTGAAGAACCCGGTGGCATCTTCAAGGCCTTCTGCGCACACAGGTCGGTAAGGGCTAAAACGCGGAATGGGAGGGCGTAGTAAGAACAGCCGCTTCCCAACGGACAGGACCAGCCGTTGTAATTTTTCTACATGGGAGTTGTCCACAACTCACTCGTTACTATTAGTCTAACATATGCCGTCAGCACCTCATTAACTCCTGTAGCAGATGCCCGCACCTCTCCCGTGGTTCCAATCTACTGCCTCCTTTGGCTCCAGCTTTTAAAAACATGAACTGTATTAAGAACATTTGCTACAAAGCATGGCGTGCCCTGGGGAGCAGCGAAAGGTGGATGCCTCACCAACCAAAGCATGTTTGAAGGCTTCGGTGGGCACGCAAGAGTAACCATCGCTGTTCGGCCAGAGTGAGCAACCTACAGCTTTGGGCCTGATCCTCTGTAGTGCTCTGTAAGGGACAGGTTCAGACCTCTGCAGAGAGAATGTTCTCTCCCCTCCCGCAGAGTCCATTACAAAAGGGGGGGGGGGAGATGCCAGAGAAATAAAATAGGATGAGATGCCCATGTTAGGGGCTCTCTCCCTCTCCAGCTTTGGCTTGAGCCCCACACCTGCCAGCATTTGCACTCCTGAAAAATGCCCCCCCCCGATTATCCACCAAAGACTGAAAACCACCCATCATCCGGATTAGACAACTTCCTGTTGTCTCCGTCGCCAATGGGATGGGGCTCAACTTTCTGGTGTCACCTAGAACGGAGAACACTTAATAATCTCCTCTCCGCTTGGGGAAATACACGAGGGGAAGATGGTTTGTCTTGGTTCAGTTACAACTGCAACAGGCCTGCCGTTCCAGACGCGTAAGGTTACGTATCAGAGACAACTGATTCAGTCTCCGGACCGGCTTCGCTTCGGAGAGGACTCTCAGACTGGCTTCTGGATTACGTGCGTTAATCTGTAAAGGACCGGTGGGTGGAGGCACCTCCTTTAAGTGAGACACCTATTTGTACTTTCAACTCTACAAATCTAGGACCGATTTATGCAAAAAACCTTTCTCCCTCACCATACCCATAGTTAAAACACCACCTTTTTGAAAGCTGGCTTTCAGCAGCATGAATGAGTTCTCTCAAAGCAAAACGCCTGAGATAAAAACATGACAGATCCCATGATTTGGGTTGGGTTATTTTTTCTTTCTTTCTTCATACTCCAAAGTCTTGCTGTTTCTCTGCCACCTGCCGCGTCAGTATTTGATGGGAGGAAAAAGAGGCCACTCCTATGTGGAAAAATATCTGCCAGATGTTCCTTAATCCATACAGGTGGATGTTACATAAGCAGATTGTCACAAAAAGCACAAAGACCTTTATCCTCCTGGCTGAGTTGTAAAACAGGTAAAGGTAGCACTGAAAAAAGGAGAACAGAAGAGAAGAGCCAGTGAAAACACAAGACAAGCAGGAACTCCAGTTATGTAAGACAAATGTCAATTTCACAGCACAGTTACTCTGTCGATAAGGTAAAGGTTACTGGAATTAACCAATGGGTGAGGAACAAAATGATATGAAAACTGTACCCACTTTCAGACAAAAATACGAAAGTGGTTAACCCAAAGTGGAGTTTTACTCAAAAGAATTACAAGCTCTGTCTTTAAAAGTGTTTAAAAGCTGAAGTTACCAAAGCTGGCCACTAGACGGAGCCAGAGACCCTATGATGTATAGTATTAACTACAGTGGTGCCTCGCTTAACGACTGCCTCACTTAACGAGGAAATCGCTTGATGATTACGTTTTTGCGATCGCAAAACGATGGTTTAAATGGGGAAACCCCCTTCACGATGATCGGTTCCCTGCCTCGGGAAACGATTTTCGCATTAGGACGATCTAAAAACAGCTGATTGTCGGGTTTCAAAATGGCCGCTGGGTGTAGAAAATGACCCCCCCGCTGCTTTCTAGGACTGATTCCTAGCTTTACAGGCAGCGAAAATGGCCGCCCCTACCTCCCCGCTCTTTCTAGGACTGATTCCTCGCTTTACAGGCAGCGAAAATGGCCGCCCCTATGGAGGATCTTTGCTGGATGGTGAGTTTTCAGCCCATTGGAACTCACTCAAGGGTTTTCAATGTGTTTCAATGGGCTTTTTTATTTCACTTAGCGAGGATTTCGTTCTACGGTGATTTCGCTGGAACTGATTATCCTCATTAAGCGAGGCACCACTGCACTGTATAATCAGTGTTTTTCAGCATCCGCAGAATCTGTGTTTTTCAGCATCCCCAGGGGGTGGGGCTTGGAACCAACCCCCTGCAGATATGGGGTTCTACGGTATGACTCAGATCTTTAGATCTCTGCCCTGGCTTTGTATAATCAGTGTTTTTCAGCATCCGCAGGGAGTGGGGCTTGGAACCAGATATGGGGTCCTACAGTACAACTCAGATCTTTAGATCTCTGCCCTGGCTTTCAAAGAAAGCTGGAGGAGAAAGACATAACTGCCACCAAATGGTAGGGAAAAAGTAAGTTACGTACCAATAAGAAACAGGCAACAAAAGGTAGAAGGAATGAAATCACGTTTCCAATTCCTTTGTGATCTTCCTGTTGGAATATGGCATTTGAAGGTCAAGTTAGCTTTGTCTTCATATATCCGTCCACAAATTATTACATCATAAGGGGGGAAAGTCACCCTCTCTTGCCTTCCCAAGCAAAAGACAGCATTTGGTCACTTGGAGGCAACGCAACTCTTACTGTAGCGATTCTTTAAGTAGATACAGCTTTGCAGTTTGGAAAATTTCATCTTAAGGAGATCTAGGACTGCTGTTTTCTGTTTACATTTAAGCACTTGCAAAGCAGGAACGGAAGGAAATAAATCTACACTCAAAACAACCAGAAAAGAAAAAGATATGGGGAGAGGTCGTGTGTAACTAGTTGAGTCATAGCAAAGAAGAACCCAAATATGAGCCAAACGTGTTTGAAACACAGAGGCATTAGTCTAATTCTAAATGATCCCTGAACGCTTTTGAAGTCTGTAGGCTCATTAGTTTTTATAACTTGGCAGACAAAATAATGTCCCACTAGCATCACACCCCACAAACTTGGCAAAACAGTCTCGTGATCATCCCACCCAACGAGACAGGGGATTGATCCGTGGGGTTGACTCTCAATCCTAGGCTTCCTTCCCTCCCGTTCGACGTCCAGGTTACCTGAAACGAATACTCCGCAAGGTGGACACCTCGAATGAGATTCAACGCCCCACACATGATGTTGAGGACGAGAGATAAGATTCCCAAAGCTGACACGGGCTCCAGTCTGTAAGCAGGAGCTTAATGGAAAAGGGGGGGGGGAGAATCAAGGGATAAATTAATGAGTGTTGCGAATAAATGGACAGCTCTTCCTTGTGCTTCTTCCAGATGTGAAGCTCAGACACCGATCCCCAGCTTGGACACCTTCTGTGCCTATCTTTCTGAGACCACTTATTTCCGTGACTCCCCTTGAGTTTTAAAGTGTGAGTCATTGTTAAAGGGGAATTGCTAGCATGAAAACAATGGCTGACCTGAGAGCACTGTTGCGCATGTCACAAGGTGGGTGAAACACTTTAAAAAGTTTCCAAAGTGCTATATAAAATGTTATCATGATTATTACAGCATCCAAATATGATCGGCCACCTTAAGAGGACGCGTGTCCAAACTCTTTTCAGTTTCTGCATTTTCAAGCAGACACATTAAGATGACGCTACCTTGCTAACCGCTCTGGCTCCAGGTTAGCGCTCTTTGATATATATTCTTTTGACTACTGCTGTGGCCTGCAATGAAAGCTGTTTTACCCGACGGCACTAAAATGAGCTGGTGTTCTGAGGGTCTAGACAAGCCCTGCACTGGATCGGCAAAGAATTCGGCTTCGCACACCACACCTTACCGGAGTCCACATGGATGTCGATGTGGCCGTTCGTCAGCCCGTTCCTCAGCTCCGCGTCTTCCAGCTTCACAACCACGGGAGGCCACAGTCGAAGCTCTTCTTGGATTTTTTCCACATCGAACTTTGTTGGAGCGCAGTTCGAGTAACTGTAACGGTTTTTGACTTTCTGGATGACATTGTCTGCAGCAGAGAAGCAATGGGGGAGAAAAATCAATGAAAATAAGAATATATATATTGAATAGGACCCCCTCAGCCACAGGATCAGTATGTGCTGATTCAATTATCCGCAGTCTGAGATTATTAAAAATTCAGAGGTGCCTCGCTTAATGAGCACACCGTTTAATGACAAATCCGCATAGCGATCTATTTTTTTAGATCGCTAATGTGATCACATTGCGATGTTCTGAATAGGCAAAACATCGCATTGCGATGATCGGTAAGCGTTTTTTTAAACAGCTGATCGGCGGTTCCAAAATGGCCGCCGGGTGCCCAAAATGGCCGCCACGTTTACGCGCCCTGCCCTCGCTTACCAAGGGCACAAAAATGGCGGCGCTATGGAGGAACTTCGCTGAATGGAGAGTTTTGGAGCCATAGGAACGCATTAAACAAAGTTTAATGCGTTCCTATGGCTTTTTCTGTTCCGTTTAGTGATGTTTCTGCATAGCGATGATTAATCCGGAACGGATTAACGTCGCTATGCGGGGCACCACTGTATTAAAAGAAAAATCCCTTAAATATGTACTGAAAACCCAACTGGAAAGTAGAAGGGTCGATGTGATCCTCGCTACTACGTAATCTGAAAAGTTATGCTTGTTTACATGGATTCTTGAACGGAAGAGAGAACACCACATACCAAATTCAAGAAATGCATAGGGCCTTGCAGCCAGATCCACATTTGTAGCGTCGTAGGAAGTGGTAAATTTCCACTGCAGCTCGGCTAGGAAGCAAAAGGCCATGGCGGCTGGATAACTGTTCTGGCAGATGCTCATGCAAGCAATGCCTCCCAAAGAATGGAAGCTGAGAAGAAAAGAGATTCAGAATTCAGAACAAGTAACACACGGGCGCACACAGGGAACAAAATGGAAGGAACTGGACAAAGTCCAATGGCTGCTTATCAAAGCCGCTCTTAGAATCTGCCATGACCATATGAATAAGGGCGGTCTGCCCCTCCAGTACACAACGGCAGACTTTGCCTGCAACGTGCCAGTTTGTAAATCTTATCTCCTGTTTTCAAAGCCTCTTCCAATTGGAAACAGACAGGCAGGCTCCCAGAGTTCTAAATGTCCGTATTTTGCATCACTGGGGCTCACAACAGCCACCTGCGTTGATATGTTCTTTAAAAAGATGTCATTTGGACGTTACCTGGAATAAGGTTGGAACTGCAGAGGGGTTAAGCAGAGACCCCCACTGACTAGCAGCAGCGAAGTCACATAAAATAAACAGATACCTACAAATATCAATCTAATCTGATTGATTTAGGCATCCTTCAGTCTCGAGAGACTAGGGTAACGTGCTCTGTATGGAGGTCTTGGAACAGCGTCTAGTGTGGCTGAGAAGGCCGATTTTAGAGTGACCATCCGTTCCACACTGAAGACCAATACAGTCTGTCCCCTGTCCAGCTCCCTGATTTGGCTGGTTTCGGGACTGCCTCTTGGCCTCAGCCTGCTGGACAAAGGTCTCTTCCAATTGGGAGAGGCCGTGATGCAACGCCTGCCTCCACGCTGAATACTCAGATGTCAGGGTTTCCCATCTGTTGAGATCCATTCCTAAGGCCTTCAGATCCCGCTTGCAGATGTCCTTGTATCGCAGCTATGGTCTCCCTCTGGGGCGATTTCACAAACAAATATCACCATTTGTTTGTACAACTGAACTTTCCTTGTCAAAGAACAAAATTCTTTTGGAACAAAATTACACCCATCTTACTCGCGAACTACATAAAGCCCCGACTTACGTACAACTACAGGACACTGTGCAAAACCTGAGTTATAGTACACTGCTATCAAGCTGCAATCGAGTCCATTATTCGCCTTTTCGTTAGCTTTGCCTTCAGATTTTTCTCACTACGACTGGGTTGTTCTTGTTCTTATCAAAGGAAAAACAGCCCTTAAGGTGTTATCAGGTAGGACTGTTCCTGACCACACCCCCAACTGCAATCTGACTTACTGTATGCTGAGGTCACGCCCGTGGGCGGTGCTGCGATCCGGATACCGGGCCAAGATGGACGACAGGGCCTTGAGTTTCTTCCTGCATTCTAGGAAGTCCGGGTCGAAGTGGAAGTCGGTGGAGGCAGAGAGCGGGAGCCCGTCCCTCGCCCGCACCACGCAGGCAAAGAGGATCATGGACATCCTCCACCGAAGAAGTCATGGGGACAGCCTGCAAATAAGACATTCACACAATGCATCTCTGCTCTTCGGGATTAGAAGACCTGCATAAACACAATTTTATTAATTTTTAATGTAAAATATTTTTACCCTGCCTTTCTCTTAAAAAAGGACTCAGGGTGGCTTACATCATTGAAATACAGCATTCAAAATCTACAATCAGTAAGTATAGACATGTTAAAAACAAGCAAACCAGCGGTCTCAACCAGGAGCACATGGTACTGCGGTTAAGATGCAGACGTCATCCGAGCAGGATGCGTTTACGAAGAAATCACTCTTCTCTGTCAGTCCTGCATGGACCCTGGCGAGCGTCCTGGGTCACTTCCCATCAACCCAACCTGCCATTGATTTTGACCTTTCCTAAAGGCTATCCAGGCTGGCTCTTCTGCCAGGAGGCACAAACGGGGAATCGAACTCCCAACCTCTGGCGCCTCGCCCAGATTCCTAAACCATGGAAACAGAGAAATGCCCTTCTAAGAAAATACGGAGGGGCTTAGTTTCTATCATGGGGAGACTTGGGCTCTTTTGAGTAGACACAGTCTAGAAGGGCGGGATAAAAATCTAATAAATAAATTTGACGAAAATTAAGATCGAGAACCTTGAGGCATCTCAACTCTTGGGGAAAGAAAATGACGATATTGGAACCACTGATTGTCAGGAAAGAGGACAGGCGAGCATGTCACTATTCCTTACGACAGCCTCACTCTACTGCCTACGAAGCAGGTCTTCATGATGCAAACTCTACATGCACAAGATTACAAAGTGCTGTGCGTTCGTCTCTTGCCACGTTCCAAAGTATCGTTCCAGCGGGGAACTCTTCTCGGTAACCTCTGTCAACTGCCCTCTAGCAACCAAGATAAAGCCTGCCTTGTCAGCAAACCGCCAACCTTGGATAGACCAAGAAGCGCTCCGGCATCCTGAAAGATCGTATTTCTCTCTGTAGACAAGCCACCTCCTTTTCTAAGTGGGTGTGAAGAAGAAGGTTGACAGGTACCAGAACGTTTGCCAAATACCCTCCATGCAAATATAAAATTCAACCTTGGATAGACCAAGAAGCGCTCCGGCATCCTGAAAGATCGTATTTCTCTCTGTAGACAAGCCACCTCCTTTTCTAAGTGGGTGTGAAGAAGAAGGTTGACAGGTACCAGAACGTTTGCCAAATACCCTCCATGCAAATATAAAATAAAAATAAAATAAAAAAAGCATCAGTGGCTATGCACCAGCAAATCTTCTAGAGGCTTGCTTCTCAAACTGGGTATTTGCACACACTCTACCCAGAATCACTTATGGAATCCCACCATGGTGTGGCATTTTAAACACTACCTCTCTCCACCGTTTACAGCTTTGCTCCGGGGCTTCGCTGCTCTGCAAGACTTCAGGGTTATTTAGAAAATCAATATACGCCGCCATCCAGCTGAACACCCGTGTTTACAAAACACAGGCTTCCTGCACAAGTGGGAGGCTGGACTAGATCACCTTTAGGGCCCCCTCCCCTGCCTACGTAGGCATTCCCCGTGCTTGAAATGTGTGGGTTTGGATCCACAAAGGCTCACATTGAAATAAACCGGCGTGTCTTTAAAGTGCTACGATATTTTCTTTGGCAGGGGCTGTTTACTTTTCTTTTCTTTCCCCATGCAAGCCCTAGGAGGAGGAAAGAGGGAAAGAACTGGGGCACGTTTAGCCTTGAGAAAAGAAGACTTATGGGGAGATAGGAGAGGGCTTTTCAAAGACTTGAAAGGCTGCCCTTCAGAGGAGGGGCAGGATCTGGTCTCCATCATCCCAGAGTGCAGGACAGGCAAACAAGGGCTCAAGGGACAGGATGCCAGATTTTGACTGAAGAGCGGGGAAAAACTTCCTGTTAGAGCAGTTAATGCGGCAGCCAGGCTTCTTAGTGGGGTGAGGAAATATCAGCATATCTCCCCCACGCTGGCTGCTTTGCATTGGTTGCTCATTCGTTTCTGCATTGATTTCAAAGTTTTAATGATGACGTACAAAGCCCTAAACGGTTTGGGACCTCGATATCGGGCAGATCGCCTTCTCCCACCTAGGTCTACTCAAACTGCTTCGTATTTTCGCCCGGCGGATACGTGAAACCGCGGATACTGAAAACACAGCGGCGGGAGCCTCCTACGGAGCGACCCCCCTCCCATCCCGGCACCCACTGGGCCACCCAAATCCGTTGCTCTGAACGCCGCTCCC